TTTTTCAACAGCTTTTATGCTGTACTAATTATAATTTCATGGAATAGTCTGATTTCAAATAGTAATTATCTAATGAAAAATAGCCTGGTGGTGGAGCGTTCACTTCTTAATCAGGAGGTCCGGGTTCGATTCTCGTTTGCGGCGGTGCGTCAAACCTATGACGTAAGTATAGGCAGTGACTGTTCCGTCGCTAAACGCCCGGCATTAGAAGTATTACTCAAAGGTCTTTCGGATATATGATCTCAAAAACGTCTGTCTCGTATCGCGGTAGGGGTTGGCACGTTAAAGAACCGTCACTGCTCAATGGCCTTGAGTACCGAGTATAGGTCTGAATTTGAAGCCCTTCATCGGCATACAGTGACATCTCCATATGAAAGAAACATTGTCGAGAGGGACGTTAAACAAAACACAATCCATTAATCAAACTAATGAAAAATGAAGGATAAACAGCTTTAAAAGGTGTTTTTGTACCCTAATATTAGAAAGTCATAGGGTCAATGAATACTTTTACATTAGTTAAATGTAAATGTAACGTTATGCAGGGAAATATTTTCAAATGAACGATATAGGGCAAAAGCACGAATTTATAAACCTTCACATTTTTATCTATTAAATAATATTGTTTACTTAATGAATTATATTTTAGGAATAATAATGGCCCAAGAAGAAAACCAAAGACTGACCTTATCTCATACAGGGTACGAATAAATTTCGAGAAAAAATTCATTTAATGTTTTGATAGGGTATAATACTCATACATTTTAATTACTGTAGAAGTACTTTTTTTCCGCGTGGTATTAATTAACGCTAAGTACGCTGTTAATGTTCCGCGGAAATTTGTCCAAGCCTACTTAGTGTAAATGTAAAGCATATGGTGGCAGTCTAAGAAATCCGCCTAATTTTCTACGCGTGGATTTAACAGAACTTGAGATTCTGCGGAATGATGAACCCGTGGAAAAAAGTACGTCTACAGTATTCATAGTGCATCATCATACATAATGCTTGTTTTTGGGATTCAATTTATTTTTTCCTTGGAACCCTTTTCCAATCAAAATTTAATATGTATCTACAGTATCAAAAATATCCGTAAAAAAATTATCGTAAAAAAAATGTGAAAAAATCCGAAATTGCAGGTAATTAATAAGTGTTTGTCTTAAATATTTTTTTTTTTTTTTTTTTTTTTTTTTGAATAATCAGAAATTTGAAAATCGAAAAGACTATGTAGAACTGAAGTAAATTTAATTTTTCATAATGCATGTGTCTTACAATAAGAATGTATATAAAGATAAATCAGGATACAAAATAACTTAAATAAACCTCACCTTGTTTTATAAAAGAAAAAATTATACAATACTTACGTTGTTTTAAAGGATTCAGTGAAAGAGCTGTTGAGAGAACTGGAGAGTTCAACTCCTCATTTTGTCAGGTAGTGAACAATATTTTACGAAAAACAAATGTTAATGAAGATTCTAATTACATGTATTTTGTAACACTTTAAACATTTTACGTTATGGTTTAAAACAAATAGCTTACATATTTTAAAATTAAAGGTGTATAAAACCGAAGGAGGAACGGAGCACCAGGTTGTTTGACAAAAATGTTGTTGGTAAACAATTGAGATATAATGGAATCTTGCAGTTAGCGAAATTTAGATATCACGAACTATCTGTTCGGATTCCAAAGAAGAATTTCAAAAAAAGGTTTGTAATATTATTGACTTTGTAGCTAAGAAAACATTTACAGTAGCGAAACTCTAGGCGACACATGTTGGCAATGTTGATTACATATTACAAAATTGAAAATATAAATTTGTTGTAGGTAGCAAAAGAAAGGTTCTATATATTTCATGTTTGTTTAGTTTTGATAATTCAATTTAGGTATTCATTATATGCTTTAGGTACCAAAACATCCCCCGGAACTGCATGGAGAGTCTCGAAGAGAAGATTTGGAAAGTGCATATGAAAGAAGACTTCCATCTGAAATGAAAGCTTGCTTTCAAGCTGGACAAACCAAGGTACATGTTTTAACATTTAGATTTCAAACAACCTTTGTTCACACGTTAAAAACACGCCGAAAAAATATATTGCAAAGTGTTTTAATGCCAGGCCCCAAGACCATAAACTGAGAACAGACTTAAGTCAAAATCTAAAACCAGTATAACTTTTGAAATAACATTGACAATGAAACAAAATTCTCATGATATATATTTGAATTTAAATGTTATAAAGAATTGCAAATTTTTTTTGCAAATACGTCAAGCAAAACTCGAGATATTAAAAATCAAAATTTTGACTTAAGGGGAGACAGGACACATGTCACATGACTAAAGAGACATAACACGTCATAATCGTTGATGATATACAAGTTAAACGTTGTTAAAATCAACAGTTCTTGTGTAATTTTATTCTAAATTCGAAAATTGTTTTTTAAACATTTAATTTTAGAAATTATTATTAATAACATTTTTAAAGATCTTGCCATCATTTAGATATTGTGAAGTTGCCCAATCCACACATTTGTTTCTCTTTACCCTGCAGTCTGACGTCAGTGACGTCATAGACGTAGTGCTTGAATTCTCAGTGCAGCGAGATCAAGTACACACTCCCGTCATGATCAGTTTTATTTCATGATAAACAGGTCACAGTCAATGTATGGTGATAAATTTCTGAAGCAGATTTTTCAAAATTAATATTTTTTCGTGTTTAGTAGCAGAGATTCAATCTATTTAGATAATTTTGAATGTTTATATTTTCATGTGACGTCACAATTGATTTCCCGCACTCGGAAAATACAAACGTGAAGCGTTTTAATCATGCTTACGTCTAATTCAACGATGTCCTGTGCGATATTGAGGTAAGCTTCACCCTTTGATATTTATACAGTAAATAATTTCGATGAAGGGCTGACATTCAATCGTAAATTTAGAAATATTTATTGACAGATTCTTTTTAAAATGAGGTTTTTGTCGTTGAAGCTGCCTTGAAAAATGCAGAAATTATTCCACCCAAATACTATATAAAATTAAAACAATTGCTTTCAGATATTTTAAACACTATGAATATTATGAAATATTTGAGTATATAGTGTTATTTATCATATTTATCGTTTGTGCGTAAAAATTTGCATTATGGACTCCGTTATGGGCCCGTAAAAATGAAGTATCCAAACTCCATACAGACTGTAGACAGGGTGGTATTTGTGGGGCGATATCTTTTAAATAAGTCAAGAAATCCAAAAATAGGACCATTTAAGAATGTAAAGCACATATTAAATTAGTAATATAAAAAATACGAAAAAAATTCATTGACAGGAATTTTTTCAGCTAAAGGTCCTGTTCCTCCTTAAGTCTATTCTCAATTTTTGGTCTTGGGGCCAGGTTTTCATGAACGAGGGTGTAGATATATACACCGAGAAGGAATTAAAGAAGAAGAAGATGCCGAAAGAAGAGGTGAAAACAGATGAAGATCAATTTAGAAGATTGAGAAGAGGAGGACAATCAAAGACGAGAACAATAGAAGAGGACGAAGTGATATCAACAGGGAGTGTAAGTTTACTTCGTGTAAATCATTCTTCTTTCTAACTGTTATGTGAAATAAGAGTTATTCACTACATGTTAATAAAATTCTTAAAACTGTTAAATAAAGTATGCAGGTATTGCATTTCAATTTCTTTTATATAGAAAAAAAATGTATTTAATACTGTTTTTTTTTTTTTTTTGCATTTGAGTTCTTATGTCAAAAAGAGACGTCATCATATACTGGCGAAGGATTTCAATCTATTATCGGCACACGGACCACTGAGCTGTAAGGGTTCCTCATAATTTTCATTTCAAGGATTCCCATTCCATCGACCTGGGTTTTAAAGGTCTCATTTAAAAAGTCTCGTGATTTTCATAACAAGTGTCAAGCGAGCGGAAAAATCATTATCCATGTTAACGTTTAAGGTCAAACGACACGTACATTGTACATCAACAATATACGTTTTCCAGGAATTTGTCCTTAAAATATAGATTCGTAAAAAAAATTACTCATAAATAATAGGATAATTTATCATGCATTTGGACAGAAAACCACGGGGTGATTTTTCTTACAAATCCCATATGCATAATCATCAGAAAGGCCAATATAATAATTTTTGATGTGCTATAATATTAAAAACAGTATAGAAATCACAAGAAACTAACAAATTTGCATATTTTTTTATCTATAATACAACGAAGTACGAAAGATTTAGTTGAGAAACAAGTTGTCAGATTTTAAGTTAAAAGGGGTGCGGGGAAGGATAATAGACCAACCCTCCTGGTTACAAAAAGAACATATACGAGGGTCATTCAAAAAATACGTAGACAATGCTTCTCATCGTCATATGATTATTACAAGATTATAGATCAACATATTTTCGTAAACATAAACATTTATTTTGTCGAAGTGTAAAGTTTCATTCCATTTAATTAAACATAACTCACGTTAGCCAAAATTAAAAGCAACATGTTTTGTTACCACGGAGCACGGTTAACCAATATTGTAACGTCAAAAACAACACCGAGAAAGTGTGTCAAATGTATATATACATTTTTGTTATTTCAAACACGGATTGTTGCGTCTTTTCCATTCAAAACACATATCCACAATACTTAACACATGGTTTGCTAACAATTGTAATAAAATAGCTTGAATAAGAATGTTATTGTTTTCAATTTCTTTGATTTGCCGTGTAACTTTATTATTTCTGCAACATTGAAGCACACATCACAATCTAACGTTCCTAACTCTTTTGACAATATTTTTAACTTTAACCTGTTTCTTTGCAGACAATCCATCGTCCGATTCAAACTCGCTACCACTCAAAAATTGTATTTTCTACTTAATACAAATACACAGATTTTTTGTCATACAGATCCTGATTTATAAGGTTTTTTAAGCTTGTAGAAAAAGTTTCCCGAATGTAAAGTCTAATTTTATTGCTACTTGCTGCTCCGTGACGTCCTCAAACGTCATGATTTTTTGCCTTTTTAAATCAAGTCCATATGTATTTAGAAGCTGATATCTTTTAAATGGAACGAGATATTACAAAACCTGATTTCATTTTAATTAATACAGCAATACCTTATTTAAACGTTATAAATTTTATTTCGTTTCAGCTCCATTTATTAGAGCTATAGCTGTAAATACTAAAAAGTGAAAATTTGAAAATTACTCAATTTTGACGGTGCTCCGTGACCCCATTTTTGCTGTTCTAAATCCTTGGTAATTTTAATAAATATGAGGATACATTCCAATTTTTTTCCTCAAATTATTTCAATCTGTTGTTAAAATATTTGTACCAAATTAGGATATAATATGACGTTAGATAAAAAAGTTAGGACAAAAGTCTACGAACTTTTTGAATGACCCTCGTATGTACATGTAGATGGAGGCCCTTCGACATGTCAGGCGTTTGCAAGATAAAGATCTCCCACTGCTTTCTGATATTGAGTGCCGATGGAAAGGAAAATTTGATACCCTTCACCGGAATATGGTGTTGTCTCTATATAAGTATAAAGTACTCTTAAAGTAAGGTAAACTTTCATGCAATCAATAATTTGTTTGAAGGTTACTATTTTGTATATTGCATTACAATATTTACTTAGAACTGAAAACATAGCAATAAAATCTAATAAATGCTTAGCATACACACAAATATATATTCAAATATGCATTTTTAATTGCCTTAAAAATTACCACTATTTAAAATATTATCGGATATTACACACATGCATTGATACTTGACACTTGTGTTTGCAAATGATTATATTTTACAAGGATCTGGAAAATGAAGTCAATGATCAAACAAATGTTAAACAATACCAGTCAAACGACAAGGAAAACAACGAAACGGTATATGTGCATATTGGATACGACTTTATTTGCTTCTTGGGGAAAACGACTATAACCGAGCTTGGTTTTATATTTTTATCAAATAACTTCCATTTTTTACATTGCTTTGCTATTTGCAAATGTATTTTTTACACTGTTCATTCCCATTCTTTATCAGCAAGATTAAAACATATTGTCTATCTTTCATTTTCAAGGATTGAAAGAGTATGCAAATCTTTATTCTCTCTTCAGGAATCAAACAATCACTTCAGGCTGAAAACCAAGTAAAATACAAATGAAATATTCAATAAGCATGTAGATATGAGAATATGCATATTTTTTGCATTCTGTTGCTTGTATATTAATACTAAAAATAGTATTTGAAAATAGACCAAAAAATAGTAGCAAAACAGGTAAATTGAACTGTCCATCAATTATCCATTTTATGTTCCTATTGACTTGTCACAGCTTGTACTAACTTGTTCATACTTACATCACTTAAACATTGGCTTCCTTTTTTTCAATTTTTTCAAGGGCTGTTAAATTTTTGGAAAATTATGTTAAGACATGATAATTGTGTAATTGATTTAAATGTTAATATATAGTTATCTTTATAAATGTCCCTCATTTTTGTATGTAACACTATATCAAAACATTTCCAAAGATTTCAAAAAGAAAATCAATATAAGTTTGCTTATAGAAAATATCTGGAAAAGTAATTGACATAATAGTTTGTAGGATAACACATATATAAAGTATACAATAAATGAAATCCTTTTATCAGAAAAATAAAATATACTGGTCGTAAAATAAGGTAAAAGTGTATACCTTTGTACATAATAATATGAAACCTATTCTTTGCACCCTTTTACATTAGTTTTTCTACCTTACAGATCTTGGGATAGGTTTCAAGTACTCGACAGGGAAAGAAAACAGAATGATGTTCATTCGCATACAAGTTTTCGAATCATCAAAGTTCTGGTGTATTTTTGTTTATTCGCAATTTTGCTGACATCATTGGTTATTCAAAAAATCACACTTGTGATTGCAACCTCAAAACTGAAATCTAGTACAGAAGGGGCTCAAAACTCCACTGGAAATACAAATTATTTATATTATTATTTATTTCAATTTTTTTCTATTTTTACATGTCAACATTATTCCTCTTTTCATCTTTGTTACTTGTTACTTCGAAGTCAGATTGCAATTCTATGAGTAATTATAATAACTGTAAGGATTATGTGAGATAGTCGTACGCATGTGGAACTTCAGTTTTTAAATTAAAACATTTGGTCATAATGTAATCGTATTTAATATAATTACCTTACTAATATTAATTTATGCATCTATGAATATCTGATTGACTGTTTAACGTCCCTCTTGAGAATTTTTCACTCATATGGAGACGTCACCGTATGCCGGTGAAGGGCTTCACATTTAGACCTATACTCGGCACTCAGGTCCATTGAGCAGTGAGGGTTCTTTATCGTGCCAGCGCCTACCGTGACACGGGACCTACGTTTTTAAGGTCATATCCGAAAGACCCGTGACTTTCACTTCTGATGCCGAGCGCTTGGCGAAGGAACAGTCGCTACCTATTTTTACGTCTTAGGTTTGACGCGGCACCGGGAACGAGAATCGCACCCGGGCCTCCCGATCACGAAGCGAACGCTCTATCACTAGGCTACCGTGAACAGTATGACTATCTGAATAATTGTGTAGGGAGTGGTGGCAGCACATAATCCCTACAGTAATTATAATGACTCATAGAATTACAATCAGACTTCGACTTAACCAAGGTAAGTCTCGTCAAATTTTTAAATTCCATTTCGTCATGATTACTTCCGGAATTATGTGAGACTTCAAAGCCCATTATGATCAAATGTTTCAAAGTACAAGAAAAATTACTTGATCATAATACTATTTTACTTACTGAAAAGTCTCCCATTCTGATTTTTCTTTGAAAGTATGCCTGACGCAAATCTTTCATTTTCAACAATGATGTCTTTTTCGTAGAATTTGGAAAATGTTGTAGCATTAGTCCATCCAGCCTTCTTTAAAATTTCATCTACTGGCACATCTACTGATTTCGCTTTTGACACTGAAGCAGATCTTACACTATGCGATCCAAATACATCTGTATTACTGTAACACTAGAAAGTTTTATAACCATTTTTATCAATCTAGACACGGTGTCTCTTGTAACCGCCTTATGAGATTTAACATAACTTAACAAAAGTGATTGTTGCCCATTTCTAATAGGTGCTGTCTTTGATAAATATTCCTTTACCACAACATGTATACAAAGTCTCCTATCTGGAGAATTTGCTTTCATATGTACAACAGGCATTTTATACCCCGGTCTTCATTGCTTTATCAATCCAGAGTATTCAAATATATATTTATTAAAACAGTTTTTCATGTTATTTACAGAAATAAGATGAATTGACTTAGCTCCTGCAGCATTTGTCAAAACAATTAACATAACAATTTTCAATGTTAACTGTGTACAACTTAAATTCTTTACAGGAGACCATTTCTTAAACAGTCTTAGAACTGAGGATACATCTGATGTTCCAGAATATCTGGGTTTAGTTGGTCTAATATTATAAACGCCTCTCATATATCTGATAACAAGAGCATGGGATCCAACGCTGGTTCCATCTAACTTTATGCCCAAAGCTGACAAAGCCCCTCGAGCTGTATTGAGAGAGCTGTAACTCAGTCCATTATCAAAAAGTAAAGTCAAGAATTCCAAAATATTGTTTACAGATGGTGAAATTGGATCAATTTTCCATTCAAAATAGTACTGAAACCATCTTTTATTGAACGTTTGATACTGTTTTAGTACCGGTTTTCCATGATGTCATGTTCCTGAGAATCCAAGGTTTCTGTGAGTTCGCCGGACACTTGGCATGGAATCAAGGTAATTTTTTTCCCACAGAGGATGAACCTCTTTTTTGTGAGGGTATAGAAGTAGATCCTTCTTTCTCGGAAGTAAAATTGGATTTTCGACCATATTTTTCATTAATTCTGTGAACCAAGTCTGAGTGGGCCATAATGGGGAAATGATAATCCCACTTGCCCGGTCTTCCCTGAATCTACTTGATGCACAAGCCCATCAGACTAAAAGGTAGAAAAATATAAAGATAATCAAAATCTCCAATTAAATGAAATTGCATCAACATAACTACATTCTGGATCTTGTTTCCATGAGCAAAACACTTCAACTTGTGTATAAAGTCTTGATGCAAACAAATCTCTATCTGGAAACACTAGTTTTGAACAAATTTGTAAGAATATATCATGATCTAATTGCCACTCTACTCGATCATTAAACTCTCTGGATAATTTGTCTGCTTCTTTATTGTTTTTCCCTGGAATATGAGAACACTTCAACCAAATGTTTCCCTCAATGCACCATTCCCATATTTCCACTGCAAGTTTATTGTGCATTTCAGATTTTATACCACCCATATTATTAAAATAACTAATGGCAGCAGTATTATCTGATAATATTCTTACATATTTGTTTTTCACAATATTCACAAAAGATCTCAAAGCAAAGTAAATTGCAAGCATTTCCAAGTAATTTATGTGATTTGATTTTTCTTCTTCTTTCCATCTTCTACCAGTTTTGATATTATCTTGTGTACATATTGCTCCCTAACCTGACAAAGATGCATCCGTTTGAATGGAAATCTCTGGATTACCTCTGGAAATAAATCTGATTTGAGAATGAATATTGGAACACCATCAGTTAAGCTCTTCTTTCATTTCCATAGTAATTGGCATTAATGAATCACAATGCCCTTTAGCTTCTTTTAGATGCTTTCTTTTCTCTTTTTCTAGCAATCTGCAATGTTATTGTCCTAATTCTGAAGCTGAAAAAATCGACATAATCAGACCAATGACTCGAGCTACAGTTCTTATTTTTGCTTGATTTTGATTCATTTAACACTTGCATTCTTCATACGCAGGTGAGTTAAGGCTACATTGTAAATATGGATATTTCTATGCAAATGAGCTAATAAAAATTCATAAATTGTATATTTTGTGTACAGAGAAAGTTCAAATAAATTTTCTTATACATACTTAATACTGACAGTTTATTAATGCAAGTGCACATTATGACGTCATATTATGACGTCATTGTTCTCACCCATTCAAGGTTTTGAATCACATCAACAAAATCACGCCGGCGCAAGGGCATATCCTATCTAATTTAAAATAAACAATGAGTAATATTAAGGAGAATGTTCTTAAAATTAATAAAATTGATGCACAAATCCTATGCACTTTCTCTATCGATAACAAATTTTAGGAAACTTACACCGGACTGTGAATTTTTACCCTTTTTAAACCTAAAACTGCACGAATAGTAACCAAACAACTGCAGTTCCGACATTTGTGCAGCAATATCTTAAATCCTTTGAATATTCTGCGTCATTTTATACCTTTTTTCTATTAAACAAAGAAAGGTATGCCCTTGCGCCGAACCGATCTTGTTGATGTTTCTTATAAAGTTGTCTAGTAGAGGTCGATGACGTCATAATATGACGTCATAATGTGTACTGGCTATCGCATGTCGTGGGTACCAAAAATGTATAAGAAAACAAGTCTTTACATTTTTTGTGCGGTAGGTAGCGCAATTATGGAATTTAATTAGATATTTTGCATATAAACCTCTATATGTAGCCTTAACTCACTTGCGTAAATAATGTCTTTCTTCTTCTTCTACTCGGTCAGTTCAATTATCATTCTCTCATAATTTATTCTGTTTCCCTTGAATGTGAATTTTTTTTTTTTTTTAGGTTCGAATTGACTTTTCTTTCTGTGAATCACAAAACCAAATTCTTCTTGATATTCTCTTGTAATGTTCACATTCATTCTGCACTCATCAATAGTATCTCCAAACAGTAGAACATCATCAATGTAGGTCATACTATGATAACTTAATATTCTAAGTTTAGCAAAAATTGGTTTGAGAACTTTTGTGAATATTCTAGGTGTTGAAGACAAACCAAATGGTAAGCAGGTATATTGAAATATTTTTCCTTACCATCTGAATCTCAAATACTTTTGATGCTCAATTGCTATTGGAATTGTATGATAGGCATGTCTTATGTCAATTGATGCCATTAACCTCATCATTTATTGAGTCTTCCTTTTCTGTTGTGACAGTGTATTGCTCTTCTTGAAGTTTTTTGAATAGAAATGG